GCAGAAGAGCTAATATAAAGGCCCTCAGAGATGAGTATGCCTGGCATGTACAAGAAACACCAAGACCAATATGAAATTTAAGAAACAGGGAAGAACAGCAAACAGGGTGAAGGATGAATGCATAGGCCCTGGAGGTCACTGTCTGTCACTCTGAGCTGGGAAGTCAGAGATGTGACAAGATCTAGCTTATGTTTTAAAAGATCACTGTGCCTGCTGCATTTAGTAGACAGTAAGGGAACAAGGGCAGAGGGAAGTGCTAGGGGAATGACAAACTCTTAACAAGTATCAGCCCCTGTCTACCTCCACAGCTATACCAGCTATATTCCACCCCAGCTCTTCACTGCTTCAAGACACAAAATACACGAGTTAATTTGCTTTATGGCAAAATTAAGGCTTTAAATTCTGGAAATCAATAAAGACAGAAGGCCATGTCAGGGAGCATCAGCCTCCATTTGGAAAAAACAGACTAAAGACAGAACCTTACAAATCTCAGCTAAGGAATGAGAGAATCTGGCTAACAAAAGCAGGTCCTGGCTTACATCTAAGAAATTCACAGTTAAGTTAATGCAAATAGAAATGGTCTTTTCACTATTATTTCTATTTACAAACCAATTAAAAACTCCACAAAAATTTTTTTCTCATTGATTCTTTAAAGTACAAGTACATTATACAAACCATGAATCCTTCTCAAGTCATTAAGAATTTTAACCAGTTTCTAGCTTGATTTTTATGAAATTGATACTACAGTCAGCAAGTGTACAATGCAAAGGTTTGGCCTCTGCTGTCCCCTAGTGGAATCACAGTCAGCTACCTAAATTATTCACAAAATCTCAGCCACAAAATGCAAACCAGTAAATAAGGTGAAAATGGAATGTTGCTGAAATGATCTTATTTCCGAGTACACTGGAAAATAAAAGTTACATATAAACCCCTATCTTCTACCCAGGGCTACCCTATTCTCCCCAAATAGAAGTATCTGATTTGTGTCTACCTTTCATTCCCAAATTTCTATTTTCACCTACACATTTTTATAAGAAATAAAAGAACTTAGTTTTTTTGAGTACCAAAAATTGATAGCCCTACAGAGAAATGCTTCTTAATGGCAGAATATACCACAGGATATAGCATTAAAAAAAATTTATATCTCTTGCCTCATTTGTCTCACAAGAAGATTGTTTTGTTAAAAAGGGCATGAATAGTTAAGAAAACAAGAAAATTTCTCAACTGCTTGCTGTAGGTCCAATGAATTCTAGACAGGTAAATCAATTAATACAAAGCACCTCAAGATGTTAAGTATCTGAATCACCCTTTACTCTTATTTAGCTAAAACATAGAAAAAAATACAGATTCCCACGTACCTTAGCTACTTTGCTAATGAATTCAGTCTCCTATATTCATGTATTTTAGTTTAATTCCAAAAGCAAACACTATCTGACAAACCCTATTTTAATTACAGCCTAACACAGGATTTTAATTAGTTTCAAATTTTCATTTAGCCTTTATTTAACTCAATTATTCAGTCTCATGGCCCACGAAACTTTCTAATTATTTCTAAGTCCATTAATGGCAACTTTTGAACTGCCAGGGAAAAGATAAGAATTATATATGATAACCTTTTCACTGATTATACATATAAAATGGTAAATTCAGAATATAGTTAGCTGTTATGAATAGTCAAACAGATTTCTACTTTTAAAATCAATGGCCGTATTAGAAACTACATTATTGTAACCGATGTGATTCTGCAATCTGTATTTGGGGTAAAATTGGGAGTTCATAACCAACTTGAATCTAATGTATGAAATATGATATGTCAAGAGCTTTATAATGTTTTGAACAACCAATAAAAAAAATTAAAAAAAAAGAAGTACAAATATATAAATATCATGACTAAAACTATTTAACAAATGAAGCATAGGCAGAGAAAAAAAAGAAACTACATTATACCATTTTTTTCATTAGCATTCTCTTCAAACATAATCTTTATGTTGTTCTTTTTTCATCTCAGTCATTATGGCCCAATTTAATGCTCACCACAGCACATGTTCAACATTAGATTTTCAGCAACTTCATCAGAACCAAGAACCCAAAATATTTCCCCTTCTTGGACTTTTTCCTGATATAATGAAATGTTCAACAGTCTTCATTTAGGAAAAATACACAATACTGCTAAACATTCTATGAAAGAATTAGTCTGCCCTATCCACATACACATGATTGGCACATCTACAAGACCTGTAAGTAATCCCCTGGTAAGTTGTGAGACACCATATGCAACTTTAGCTATCCAAAGACTCAAAGGACCACAAAATACAGATGTGTGAGGGTACAAGTACAAAGGTATAATTATTACACATTAACTGAGAAGAACTAAACAATGGAACAAGATATATCCCACCAACCACCACTAATAACTTCTCAGAACATCTCATTATGAACCATAATCCAAACATGCACCCAACAGATTCAAGACCTCTGTGACATTATGTACCTTCTTATAAAATGAAAAGTGGAACAAGCTATTGTTCTATCCATGTCCTATTTTTCTTAGATCTCAGAAAAAAAAAAATCGAAAGTCTAGTTTGTTTGAATATACAATTACATCTTATATAGAGCATAGTCCTATCTAGTGCTTGTTCAAATATTTTATCACTAATTATCATTAATTATAATTGAAAGACTTACTTTTGAATATTCTAGTATAAAAATTCTATTTTAGAAGCCTTTTACTACTAAACTGTTGTCTCCCTTCTTTCATGGAGTTAAAAGAAACACAAGTAAGAAAGTACATTTTGATTAGAGCCAATTTTGAAGGCAGCCTACAAGATAACTTCGAATCTATCAAAAGACAGATACTTAGACATTCAACTTATTTTATGAAAATAATAAGAAAAGCTCTATTAGTTAAGCTATGAAAGAACTTGAAATGTTATGGATTAGATTATGTGCCCCTAAAAACTCATATGTGAGAAAAGTTAAGAAAGTTTAGAGGTGAAATGACTGGGTTAACCTAATCAGTGCATTAACCCCCTGATAATTGGTTTGTAAGTAGAAATAATAGTGAAAAGACCATTTTCGTTTGTATTAATTTAAGTTAAATGTGAATTTCTTAGATATAAGCTAGGACCTACTTTTGTTAGCCAGATACAGATTAACTGGGTGGTAAGTGTAGGCAGGGAGGGTGTGGCCTACAGAAAGAGGGTCCCAGGGATTGTATCTTTAGGGTTTATATTTGTTCCTTCTTGAGTAAAGAGATATCTCTCTCTCTCTCTTGTTTATATTTGTTCCTTCTTAAGCAAAGATCTCTCTCTCTCTCTCTCTCTCTCTCTCTCTCTCTCTCTCTCTCTCTCTCTCTCGGTAGCCATGTCCTAACCTGCTTTCTTCCACCACATCCTTCCGCCATGATGTTCTGTCTCACCTAAGACCTTGAGGAATGGAGTCAGCCATCTATGGACTGAGACTTCTGAAACTGTGAGCCTCAAACTTTTTCTCCTCTGATTATTCTTGTCAGGTCTTTTTGGTCACAGCGGTGAAAAAGCTGAGTAAAACAATGAACAACTTTCATTTCAACGGAAACAAGGGCCACCATGTTCCAAAATATTATTTTGTTATCTTTCAAGGATATCCAGGAAATATGATGTAAAAATAGAAGAATGATAAATCCCAAAGGAAATTCCTAGATAATCCTTTAAACAAAGGATTATCTATAGAAGACAATTTATACCTGTTGTGGGCACAGGGCTGGTGGGGGGAAAATATATATCAAGCCTGCCAGAAGTATATTCACAGTCTTTGCTCAGATGAAGATTTAAACCTTGAGTCTAAAGATCCTATCATCCCTGAGAAAGCCTTACATGTTCATGGCTTGAAATCAGAAGTAATTGCTAGTCCAGTTAGAACCACATCAAAATCCCTCTAAGTACCCAATCATTAAGTTTTGATGAAAAGGAAAATGGGAAGAAAATGTAAAACTGAAGAAATAGTCCATCTGTGACTAATCATAAGTTAAAAAAAAAAACTAAATATTAATCACAATGAGTGTTTTTCCAAGAAAAACATTATAAATATCAGTGAGAATATTTCTTACTGATTCACCCGTTTTCTTATGATCAATTTCTGGATGCAGAATTACTAAGGCAAAAAGAAGTACTGTAATGCTTTGGATAAGTCTTACCAAATGCTACCTAAAAAGCTGTTAGCCATTTACAATTCTACCACCAGCACACATCTTTTAGCTTCAATGCAACTCAATCACATCTTGTATGATCTTTTTCATTTATTCAGATATATTTTTATATTTCAGTCCCAAATCACTGTGACTTTTTTTTAATATTTATTTTTTAGTTGTAGTTAGACACAATACCTTGATTTTATTTATTTATATGTGATGCTGAAGATCGAACCCAGGGCCTCGCACTTTGATGTCTTCTTTTGTAGACAATTTCTATATAGATTTTGATCACATATAAGGGGTGTGGAGAAGGAAAATATAGAAAACTAAAAGTATTTACCAATACCTCAATTCCCACTAGGAAGAAAGGGAAAAAAAGGAAATCAAGACTCCAAAATACCTTCCCTTTAATAAAGCCTATAACACAGAAGTAAGAATACAAGATGGGACCAGAGGAGTCTGACTGCCCAGGTTCAAATCCTGGCCGTGTGTATCTTTGAACACATTGTTTACCTGCTTAAAGACTCAGTTTTCTCATCTGAAATTGGAAAGATCATTAGGATTCAATGAATGATGTTCAGTGAGCAGTTTGGGTGAAAAGTTTAGAATAAGTAAAGTCAAACAAGAAACTAAAATAAGATTAATGGATTTTTCTTAACATTAATCAAGTCTCAGCCATAATGATTCACAACAGCTGTCAGGTTGCTATCAAACCACACCCCAAATGCCAAACCAATACTCACCTAACTTCTCCATTCTTTGAAGATGGGGAAGCAAGTTTTGTTACTTAAATTGTACCAAAAGCAAAGAAATGGGCTAGGACACCTACCTGGCAGTTCTACCTGCTCTATGAATATATGTGTTGGCATCCTCTGGACAATCAAACTGAAGAACCCAATTTACAGCTGGAAAATCTACACAGAAGGAATATCAGGTTAAAAATTTTAAAAAATCAGTTTCAAGATCTGCCCACTGTACTATTTTTATTTTACAATATTGCCTGCCAACACAAACTAATATTAACTGTGAACTCTACTAAAAATAAAATTAATTGCAAGAACCAAGAGATAATAAACACTGCTTCTTGGACAAAGTGAACTAAAATTAATTACAGTATTTGAATGTAAAGATTATTTCACAACTGACACAGGACAAATTGCTTTGTGTCAAGCAAATAATGAAATACCCTGATGTTTAATAATCTTAAAAAGAAACACTCTTCTTGGGGTGAACTATATAACTGGATTCTAAATTTAAAGGGAGGTTTACTTTACCTGCTAGTCCCATCTCTGGATTGAATTGTTCTTTTTTGAGATCCTTGTCCCTGATTCCTAGCAATTATTACTCCCTACATACTTATGGCTACAGCAATTTTCATTCATTCTCAGAATCCTCTCAACAGAACTACCTCTGATCACTTATGAATTTTGCTATGAGGATTTCAGATAACTTTCATCAGAGAAAAGGGCTGAACACCAAAAAAAAAAAAAAAAAAATGGGCATCATGGCACACATATACACCTGTAATCCCAGTAGCTTGGGAGGCTGAGGCAGAAGAATCGCAAGTTCAAAGCCAGCCTCAGCAACTTAGCAAGGCCATAAGCAACTTAGCAAGACCTTGTCTCAAAAGAAAAAAATAAAAAGGACTAGGGATGTGGCTCAGTGGTTAAGTATCCCTGGGTTCAATGACTGGTACAAAAAAAATGTTGAAAGATAATGAGTTTGATACCTATAAGTATTAAGTGATACAGCCTACCCAAAAAGGTTAAAATTTAGTACAGGGACAAAGTCAAGAAAAACATTTAAAGCAATTCTCTCAGAACTTGAAGTAAAAGGTACTTCAGAAGGAAGTCAGAAGGAAAGGCATATTGCAGGGCTATCAACAGATTGAAAGCAGCACTTGAAACTCAGGCCTCCTACCTCACCCAATATAACTGGGTCTCTTGGAGAAAAGTTTTTTGCCAGAGAAAGACTCCAAACTCCAGGGTACCAGATAGAGCAGAAAGGAGGGCAACAGAGCCAGAGTAAAAAAAGGGATCCTGAGGCAAAGTCTTCATGCTTCCTGGAAGGCCTTGGTGCCAACTTCCTTGCTAGTCTTCCCCAGAGACAGCAGCAAAATTAATTTATATGAGATTGAGGGTCCCTTATCTAGAGGAATTAAATATTTGAAAACGAATAGAACTCAACATTTTAAATCCTCCACAAAATAATAGACTTTGTCCAAATCCCCTCGCAATGACAGCCATTAGTCAACAAGTCTAGATAATAAAGAGAAAATTAGAACTGTGTTTCCACTCTTAGAAAACTAGGCATGTAACTGCTAGAACATTTGAGAACACAGAATTGGGAACACATAAAACTAAACAAATTTTGTAACAACAGTATGAGACAGGAAACAGTACTACTTCCCTCAGCAGAAACTATAGTCAAAACAATGTAAACACAAAGTGTTTATCTAGCCGAAACTCATGATATAACAATATAAAAAAGATGGGGATTAGCAGAAGACAGATAATTATGAGAGTTAATAAAAGGAGTAATTTCTAAACATGCTGTCATTAAGTGGTAGTATAAGATTACTTAGTTAAATAGAGCTAGACACCAAGTAAGATTTTTAAATAGTTGCCTCTAGGGGAAAAAAGAGGGCTAGAGCAGGGTCTGTTCATTTGAACTCATTACCCCACATAATTTTATTAAAAAATAAAATTAAAACTAAAATAAAGTAAGAAGATACAAATGTATTCTGAAATTGTTCTTGGATGGGGACAGGAAAGCTCAGAATATTCACTGCACATTTTTATGTACAAAAACTGAAAACCTAAGTGTCCATTGTTATAGGAAGAGTCATGTAACTGAATAAATTCTTTCTATGTGACACTATATAAACACATTAAATCTTTATACATCACCATGGAAAGACCTCAAGAGCAAGTTAAAGACTAGCCCTTACGTTACTGTTTATAATAAAAGAGTTTTTCTATCACCTAAGATAATATATTCACAAAGTACTTTCTTTTAAATATTTTTTTACTTGTTGTTTTATTTATTTATATGCAGTGCTGAGACTCAAACCCAGTGCTTCACACATGCTAGGCAAGCATGCTACCACTGAGCAACACCCCAGTCCCACAAAGTACTTTTAATAAACCAAAATTGAGGCTCTTGATCCTTTTTGTGCTATAATTAAAGACTCTAACCCCCATCTCAGAATGATTTTAACAAAGCAAAACACAGGTTATAAGAGAAAATATTTATAGTATTTACAATAAAACATTTTTATTATTTTTTTATATACTAATGTATAGACTTACTAAAACATTAACACAACCTCATTGTGGGTCTAATAAGCACTATAATGTAATTAATAATGTAAGTATAAATAATTTTCCAAGATACCCATAACAATATATAATGAAAATATGATTTTAACTGGTGACAAAGTCACAGGAACTATTAAAACTATGATAGTTTGTTGCTTACATTCATAGAGCTAAATTTCAATCAAAGATTACTGAAAACCATATTTTTTTTTAAAGAAAGAGAGAGAGGGAGAGAGAGAGAGAATTTTAATATTTATTATCTAGTATTTGGCGGACACAACATCTTTGTCTGTATGCGGTGCTGAGGATCGAACCCGGGCCGCACGCATGCCAGGCGAGTGGCTACCGCTTGAGCCACATCCCCAGCCCTGAAAACCATATTCTCCCCAACTCTATTTACAGTTCACAGACCTGCTAATTAATTTTTACCTTACAATTCACTGAACCAGATGTAGAAAACTTAAAGGCTCTATTCCAAATATATGACAGTAACTGTTTGATAGGAGGTATAGGAGTAAAATGAGAAAGAGAGAGAGGGTTCAAAAAGGACTACATCAATTAATATTTAACAGAATCCAAGGAAAATGTGACAAAATATTACTATCTGTTGTGGCTACTGTGTTTATGTGTGAGTTTTCTGAATTATTATTTTGCAAAATGAGATCATAAAAGGAATAAACTTCAGTTTAAAACATGCTTTGGTTAACCTGGAACTACTTTAAGTTCAAAAGTCAGATATAATTTGGGGGAGAAAATCACAAAATGTTTCAAAACTACATAGTCAAAGAACAATGCAGGTTGTAGGGGAATTGTCATTGGGCTGAGTAAAAACTAGTTTTTAAAATATGCATACTTGGCTACTGTCTCTAGTCACACGTTAACAAACTGATGCTTTAGAACAGAGGCAGGAGGATGATCATGATAAAAATAATTGTTAAAGTGGAGTAATGTGTATATCAGAGTACGTAGGACCTATTCTTTGTGCAGGTTTGAAATTTGCCACAGTTAATAAATACAATAAAACAAAGCTACCACCTATTTATTCTCACCTCTTATTCCTACCTCTAGATTATTTCTACTTCTATGCCCATCTTACTCCTCCAAAGCCATAAGTTAAACATGAGTATCAGAATTTTTAAAATAAATTTTAAGTACATTAAACAGCCATTTTCCCCCCATACTAGGGACTGAACCCAGGGGTGCTTAACCACTGAGCCACATTCCCAGGCCTTTTAATTTTTTCTTTTGAGACACAGTCTCACTAAATTACTGAGGCTGGCTTAGAACCTATGATCCTCCTGCCACAGTCTTCTAAGTCATTGGGATTATACGCGTACACCACTGTACCTGGCTTAAAACAGCAATTTTTAAATAAAAATTAGAAGGGTAAAAGGATGGACTTCACAGATTTTCATTAAATGAATTATAATATCAACACATTTCCAATTTTAAAAAAAAAAGGAATTTTTTTCACATCTTTAAACCCTCCTTTGGTTTTACAGACTCTTCAGGTACTATGATGTAATTATATCATGAAACAATAGTAAAAGTACAAAAGATACATATATTACAGAATGTTTCACTGACACATCCTTAATGTTAATTAACTTATTTACTTATTTCTCCCACAAGAAAAGTCCAATTATTTAAATCCATTAGATTTCCAAAAATACACCTTAAAATTAAACTATGGTTCCCATGATCACAGACATTTCATTGTAGTAAGTTTTCTTACCCAGCCCCCTGGCTGCAATATCCGTAGCAAAGAGTACTGCAGCTCTCTTGCGGACAAATTCATTATAGACTTCCATTCTTCTCATCTGTTGTTGTCGACCATGGAGAGCAAGGATAGAAATACCAGGGCGAAGCCGACAGAAAACTCGGTACAGGTACTGAACCTAGGCATTAACAAAAGAATGAGTTTTGTACTTCTGGATGGCAACAGTAAGGCTTACAAGATAAACAGCAAAAATGCACTGAAAATGCATCCAGAACACAAATTTTGCCAGTTTGAAATTAAAAAAAAAAAAAAAAAAAAAACAGTTAAATATGGAGCAGAGAAAAGGCAAATGGAATTTAGGGTCTTCAAACAATTTTGCTCTCATATTTCCTAAAAGAATTGTGAAAGGAAAAATATATTTCAGTTGACATCTAAAATCTTTCCAAATTTAAATAACTATAAAAAGGCAATTTCTATTTAAACGGATGTTTTAAAACTTTTTCTTTCTTCTACAAATGTCCAATGCATTCTAAATAGAACTATAAGCCAACAACCAAAGTAACCAATATGTAAAGACACTTCTTTACAGAAATTTTATTCCCTTTCCTCCTTTAACTCATTTCTAGTTCCTGACCTCACAGAACTGCATATTAGGTTTTAAGCCTGAAAGCTCCTTACTGATCACATTCTATTTCATAAATTTCAGTGTTACATTTAATTTCCTATGTTCATAAGGCCATATTAATTTTCTTGTCAGACTAAGCAATTATTACAATATGAACACAGAAATGACCAAAATAAGAGATGTTGAGTTTAATAGACATTAGACATAAATAAACTTGTATTTTAGCCAGGCACGGTGACACACACCTGTTATCTCAGCAACTCTAGAGGCTAAGGCAGTAGGATCAAAAGTTCAAAGTCAGCCTCAGCAACTTTCGAGGTCCTAAGCAACTCAGCGAGACCCTGTATCTAATAAAATATTAAAAAGGGCTGGGGATGTGGCTCAGTGATTAAACACCCCTGGAATTCAATCCCTGGTACAAAAAGAAAAAGGCTATGTTTAATCCCAGTATCAAAAAAAAAAATGTATACTGTAAATACATCTCAATGTATAGACCAAGATTTTTTGGTTTTAATTCACTTGTATTTATATTTCTTAAATGTATTGTATGGACTGCTAGACAAGACAGTTTAGCATTTTATTCCCAATTTCTCTTTCTAACCTAAATTAATAAAATCTATCTACATAAATACAGAAGATGGACTCAAAAAAAGGCTTCTCCCTTTCAACTCCTATAAAATCTGCCAAAAATCACAATGACAGATGACCAAAGATTACTTATAATACAGCTAGAACTCCATTTAAGTCTCTCTTCAATTCTATTCAAAATAAAGAATGGGAAACCACAGTGACTTACTACCCAATCATTAGTGTCATTCACTTTCTCAACAGTAATTCTCTAATGTCAGGGAGGTTCTGATTCTGAAATAAGGTACCGGCAAGATTAAGGATAAATGGACTTATTCCTTTTTCTTGTAAAGATATAAAAAGGGCCACCATAGAAGGGGAAATAGTTAAGGAGACTTGTGGACTACAGATGCACTCTCAGGCAAATCAATCTTAGAAAAAGTATATGTGGAAAATTAGAAAGTATAAATTAAGTTTATGAAAACTTTGTAAATCTGAATCTTGAACCAAGATTGACCTTGAATTCCTGCTCTTTTTAACAAATCTGCTAGCGTGAAAGACATCTGTTGAATAAAGTCATTGAGGTTTTAAGCATGGAGTTTGATTCTAATTGACAGAAAAAGTAACTGAAGGATTTTAAGCAAAGCAATGATTATTCTTGTGTTGACTTTCCAAAGGTCACTCTGGCTATAAAGTGGAAAAACTAAAGGAAACAAAGTGAGGGAATGAGGAAAGAAATAGGAGGCTAAGAGAAGGTTAAGCGCGGTCCATACTGCACTAGAACAGAGGAGATGGAGGTGGATGAGAAATGGTAGAGCTAATGAGTAATCAACAGCTTGAGTATGGGATTAAAACAGAGAGGAATTAAGGATTCTGTAACTTAATGAGATAGAAAAGAGTTGGGGAAAACAGATCCAAGAACAGGAACTCTTTAATTGTTTTTATTATATTCTATTTGCAAAACCTTCTAGTAATCACTGGAAGTATCCAAGGGAATACATAAATCTGGAGATCAGAGAAGAAGTGAGAGCTTGATACATGAATTTTCCAGTTAGCATACAGCTGGAATTTATAACCATAAAACTAATAAATTTTCTCACAAAGAAGGCAGAGATGGAAAAAGGGCAGAGTAGACAGGTCGGAGGCACTCCAATTGCAATGGTCAAACAAAGGCAAACTCAGCAAAGGAGTTCAAAATAGAGCAGTCAGAAAGCAGAATGGGATGACAAGCTAATGAGTGTGGAGTCACAAAAGCCTAAAGTGTTTCAATAGGGAATGATCAGCTGTAGCTAATGCTTCTGAGAGGACAAATAAAATAAAGACTGATAACTTAGCACTCACTCTGGAAAGCTTTCTCTCTGACGGGCTGATTCAGTGAAGGGCTTAGTAAAGAACAGGAGGTAAGAAAGTGGTTCAGCCAGGAAAGTAAGTTTTTAGAAGAGACTGCTGTGAAGAGCAGAGAAAAAGGCAGTGACTGGAAAGGGACACAGGATATGTTTTGTTTGGTTTTCCCCCTTAATACTGGCATTGCTGAAGAGTAAGGAGAAAAGAAAATGTGGAACAAAGGAGACATTTGCAGTGGCAAAGGCCTTGCAAAAGGGAATGGAGCACACAAGAAGGGTGGGTCATAGACACAAGGGAGAGACAACTGTCCACTGTGGCAAAGAAAAAAGCAAACATTACAGAGTAGAAACTTTAAAGGATTCTGAAAATAATTTTCCAGTATCTAGGAGACAAAGTTTTGAAAATCTAAAATAGACACTAAGAAGATCTGAAGTCATTCATTACATGGCAAAAGGATAGGGTTCAGTGGACAACAGAACAGACCACTACTTGCCTTTCAAGAAGCTGGAGGGAAACTCACCTGCATGCTTATGGTAAACTATTATTAGGGAATATATCTAGAATTGATCTATTATATGCTCATATGTTATCAAAAATCTGAAATACAAATGAAAAGTGGTATACAAAAATCAACCATAATCACTTATCCTTAAAGAAGGAGATGAGGGGCTGGGATTGTGGCTCAGCGGTAGAGCGCTTGCCTAGCACAGGTGGGACCTGGGTTCGATCCTCAGCACCACATAAAAAATAAAGGCATTGTGTTGTGTCCATCTACACCTAAAAAATAAATATTTAAAAAAAAAAAAAGAAGGAGATGAAATGTTCTCACGTATCTCTGAATCCCCTGTTCCTAACACAGGGCAAGAGTTCATGAAGTGTTTATTAACCAAATAAGGATATAAACAAACATCGCAAAAAAGATAGGAAAGGGAATAACTGATTCTAAAAGAGCATCAGAGAGAGTCAGAGAGAGACTTCCAGGTATAATATTTGAGCTCAGCTTTAAAGAGCACCAAATATTTATCCTGTATGTGGGTGAAAGGATGCAAGAAGGGCAGCCCAAACAAATCAGTATGAACAAAGGTAAGAGACATGGGGGGAAAAAAGAGAGAGCGAGCATATTCAGTTCCATATTCATGGAGAGTAGGAAAGGTGTCAGATTATGAAAGCCTCTGCTCAGCCAAGCTAAGGATTGTTTATTCTACCAATATTTACTGGAGGCTACTATGTTTCCAGGATTATTAGCACCTAGCACAATATTGAAGAAGACTGATAGTTTCTACCCTCATGGAGATAAAAGTCTCACCCGTGGATAATTTATTTACAGCAACACAGGATTCTCATTATCTATGGATCCCTCACCTCACCTAGCACTGTGTGTCTCATACAATATAATATTTGCCTAACTGAAATTTGATATCTCAAAGGAAATGATTCAACATGAGTAAGTTCAGAAAGAAAAATAAACAGTTGGTACCTCTTTGCAACTAGAGAAAAACACAATACTCTTCTTCTTCAGATGACTTCTCAAAAAGGAATACAGCACACTTATTTTTTGCTGCAGCTCACAAACTATGTAGTTCTGTTCCAAAGTAGCAGGGGTGCTTGAAAAATTAGGAAAAAATATATTAAAAATAAATTGTGGAGTGATATTGGCAAAACTATATTTTTTCATGTATGAACATGTAACCACAACTCCCACCATTATGTAGAACTATAATGCATCAAATTTAAAATGTGGGGGAAAAAAATGAAAACGATGTGTTGTTACCTTTGGAATACACACTTTAAAAAAGGAAAATTTTAACAATAGCTCACCCCTCAAATTATTCTCCCTCTCTCTCACCCAACTCCACACACACCTTTTCTCTACTGTCCCTTAGGAAACTAATTCAACATGTAATTAAAATACATTCAAAATCCTTTACAGAATACATGTCAAAAGACACTCAAAATAGTTACTTCTGACAGTGCAGAGTCAAGGATTAACTATTAAAAGGGGAAAGGACCCACAATCTATGAAAAGCAGCATAAAAGACTTGTTGGGTTGATGGTAATGTTCTACATTTTACTGGGGGTTTGGGTGACACAGATATACACATTCATCAAAATCAGCAAATGTACACTTAGAAATTGCAGATTTCATGATATTAAGTTTTACATTAAAGAAAGAAAATATATAAATATTAATGATGGTATATGTGCTGAAATATTTAGGGGAACATACCTGCAATTTATTTTGAAAAATAAATTAAGATAGTTAATATACAGTCAGCGAGATGAACAAACAACTAGTAAATCGATACTGCCATTAGGTAACATCTAGTTGACAGGTATGAAGTATTCACTATAGCAGTCTTTCAATTTACTGAATGATTGAAATTTTGTAATAAATATTACAGAAATACATGTATTTACTCTTTGAATAAATCCACTTTTATGTTTCTATTCCTAACATACACACACAAAAGACACATGACATTATTTTAAAAACAGAAGATAAACAACCCAATTGTCTATCACTAGAGAACACACTAAATATCCACACAATTAAGTGTTATATGCAACTGCAAACAGGAATGAGCAATCTATCCATATATCACTATGGAGTTGTCTCTGGAACTTAGTGTTTTGGAAAGAAATAGCAGAGTAGTAAATAATTGGTAGGATATATCAGTGTGGAGGTACACACATACACATACATATATGCACATCTGTGTGTATCTATTTGTATTGACGGGAAAACAAAAGCAGACACCAAAAACTATACATCAATTTACATGACACCAAAATCATGATCCATAAAAGAACTGGTAACCTGGATTTCATTTTCATTAAAATTAAAAATAACTGATCCATGACAGACACTGCCCAGAGAATGAAAAACAAGTCACAGAACTTAATATTTGCAAACAAACGATAAAGGACTATTCTCCAAAATATAAAAAGAAGCATTAAAACTCAACAAGAAGAACATAGTTATTTTGTTTGTTTGTTTGTTTGTTTGTTCGTTTGTTTTTGGTATCAGGAATAGAACTCAGGGATGCTTTACACTGAGCTACATTCCCAATCCTTTTTTTATAAATTGTGAAACAGGGTCTTGCTAAATTGCTTAAGGAATTCCTGAACTGTGGAGGCTGGCCTCTGACTTGCAATCCTCCTGCCTCAGGCTGCCAAGCCATGGAATTATAGGGGTATACCATAGTACCTGGCAAGAGCAAAATGTTTTAATTAAAATAAAGGGGAGGGGCAAAAAACTTTAACACCTCCCCAAAGGGGATATACAAAAAGCAAATGAGCATATAAAAAGATTTTCCACGTCATGTCATCAGGGAAATGCAAATCAGAACAATGAGATACTAGTATATAGATACTAGTATATACCTTATTAGAGTGACCAAAATCCAGAAGAGTGATAACAAAAGATATTAAGAACATTCAACCACAGACTCATTCATTACTGGAAGAAATGCAAAATGGGATAGCCACTTCTCAGACAGTTTGACATTTCTTACAACAACAAACCTTACCATCTGGTCTAGCAATGTGCTCCTTGGATTGACCAAAAGGAGTTAAAAACATGTCCACACAGAAAAAATTCTGCACAGATGTTTATAGCAGCTTTCTTCATAATTGCTACAACCTGGAAGAAATCAAGATGCCCCACAGTAGGTACAAGGATAAAATGTGTTATATCCAGACAATAGGTTATTATTCAGTACTAAAAATAAATGAGTTCTCAGAGCTGAGGGTACAGCTCAGTGGTAGAGCACTTGCCTAGCATACGCAAAGCCCTGGGACAATGGGGGGAGGAAGCAGGGGAGGGTGAGCAGCTCTCAAGTCACAGTCACGTGTAGACATGGAAGACACTTAAATGCATCTTAAATCAAAGAAACCAACCTGAAAAGGCAGTATGTTATGATTCCAGCTACATGACATTCTTAAAAAAAAAAAAAAATGGGTATAATAAATGGTCGCCAAAAACTAAGGGAGAAGGGATGAATAGGCAGAGCATAGACAATATTTAAGGCACTGAATGAAAATACTGTACAATAACTATCACATTAGATATGTGCAATCAATCATAAATTTGTCTAAAACCATAGAATGTGCAACACCAAAAGTGAACCCTCATGGTAACCATGGGCTTCAGGTAATAATAATGAATCAGTAGGTTCATCAATTGTAACTGTGCCACTCTAGTAGGAGCCGTTGATAAAGGAGGAAGGCATCTTCCTCTCAATTTTGCTGTGCATCTACGCATGCTCTAAAATAGTTTTTAAAAATAAATAGGTCATATCCATAGGAAAATATGATAACACAGTGAACTGAAGTTTTATTAAAAAGCTCCAAAATGAGCCAGTAACAGTGGTGCATGCCTGTAATCCCAGTGACTCAAGAGGCTGAGTCAGGAGGAACACCAAGTTCAAGGCAAGCCTGGGCCACTTAGTGAAACCCTGTGTCAAAATAAAAAGGGCTAAGTATGTAATGGTAGAATGCCCTGGATCCATCCCCAGTAAACACACACACACACACACACACACACACACATACACACACAAAAGGTCCACATATATATGAAATTTACAGCTTAATAGCAGCTCCGTAGTGTGAAACCAAGAAAGCAGACAGGGCAGCTTCTCCACAAGGTAGGTGACCAAAAAAAAAAAAAAAAAAAAAAGGCAGGGGAGCTTTACTGGAACCTAAAACTGCACATTCAAAGCAGACTGTGGACACAAAAGGTTGGATATAATAAGGAAAAAAAAAACCCAGCCTCACAGCTGCTGTCACAGCCTGGACAGAAGCTCCTACCATGAACATAGTAGAGGGATAAGGGAATTAAAGGAACCTGCATTTTTCAGAGGCAGTGCAGAACATGTGGGTTTGGAGCATTTAGAGACCAAAGACATTTCCCAACAAACGTGAAGGACATGATGCATGATATCTGTGTGTTGGGAAAGAAGTCACCATCTCTCTAGGTGGCATATGGAGGACAAAGGAAGGAACCATTTTGCAGCTGCAGCACAGGGGCTGGCACCTTAGGGGGCAGATTCCTGGCAAACCAAGTTTGGCCTGAAATACATGGCCAGTAAACACATGCTGCATGACATGGAGTGTGCTTAAGTAACCAGAATAAAATCAAATGGGGAGACAGGTTTACTCAGGGGACAACTGGTCAAGGAAACCCACCAGGCTCTACCCTTCCCCCTCCAATGTGACTGCTTACAGGAGCAGCTTGGAGAGATGCATCTGGCCAAAAACTCAGAAGGGCAGGGACTGAAGAGATTGTTTGGAAACTGAACCTGAGACCAAGAAACGTGTGGTTGTAGTGGTACCCCCTTCTCCACAGAAAATCTTAACTAAGCTTCTCCAGAAATCTTCACCGTAATTGATTTTAGGTTTATCAGCGAAAGAGTCTATACAAAAAGAGTTCAATGTAGGCAGACTTCCTATTTTCCTATTGCTCTATTGTAGTTGGCCAGTGGCCTGGAAGAAATCAGCACTCTAGGTGCTCAATGCCCCTTTACTAGTTTTTCATAAACATTTATCCAGTATAGTAGTCTATAAAAGTGTGTTTGCAAATGTAAAATGTGATAATAAAAAGACAAATCCTTTGACAAGGCCTCTGGCCTTGAGCTGGAGCTTCACAGAGATGTCTACATTTCTAAGATAAGAGAAGTTATCAATTGGGCTCCATGGTAAAAGTTGGCTATGGGAGGAAAGAAAGGAGAGAAGACGCTCTCCCCTTCTCAGTGTTGTCCTTGAAAGGTTAACTTGCCCAGAACAGTGAAAGAAAAAACTGCTTCTATGTGAACTTCTACAGACTGTGAACTTCTGAGACCCTCCCCTTACATGCTGGGTATAAAGTTCTGAAACTACCTGAACCCGAGGTTCAGAGGATTAATTGATTACAGTGAAAGCTATGCCCTCTGAACCTGGCTGCAGCCAAATAAAACTGTTTCCTGCTATCTGGTCTGTCTCCTACAACAGGGTATACAGGTGATGTAGGGGGACTAAGAATTGGCTCCTCCACCACATGAGTTGAACCCAGGTAAGATCCATGAGGTAAACTCTTTCAGAGTGGACCAGCAAGTACTGGGTGCTGGAGGTGCCGATCAAGACCAATCAGCATCCAGCAAAGAGCCTAAAGCCTCCCTTAACCTAAACCCTGCCACCAGGAACTCCACCTACACTTCAGAATATTCTCAACAAAATATTCCACAAAGATAAAATGAAAAAAAAAAGAAAGAAAGAAAGAAAAGTGAAAAGCAGCAAAGGGAGAAACTATAGTAAAGGAATAGTCAATCAAAGAAGAAACTAATTCAAATTAAAAACTAGAAATAAACAAAAAAGACCAGGAACACATATCATATCTCCATAATAACCTTGAACATTAATAGCCTAAACTCATTAATCAAAAGACACAGACTGGTAGATTGGATGAAAAAAACAAGACCCAAAACTATACCATCTCCAAGAGACTCACCTCATAGGCAAAGACAGCCACAGACTGAAGATGAAAGGATGGGAAAAAAACACCATTCACATGGATCACATAAACAAGCCTCTTATCAGATAAAGTGGACTTCAAGCCAGTTAATCA